TAACCCAGTGCTGCTCCATTTGTGTGCCCTATTTACCAAGAACTCCAGGAGCAGTGGACTCCAGCCCTGGAAGCAGTGCCACTATTACTCATGTGCTCCAAACCAGGCACACCATGTGATAGTCTGGGGTTATCCCAGGAGGAATTCTGGACACAACTCCTCCCTCTTCCCATGAGGGGAGGGCAACCACCTGAGATGCTCAGAGTGCAGAGCTCCAGCAGGTCACTGCCAGGACAGTCCTGCCAGCCCCACCTGCCGGAGGGTTGTTCCCTACTCTGCCAGGAACCTGCCTTCATTTCCTTGCACAGCTGGAAACGGTTCAGGGCTGGATGGAATTAGCACATGGCTACAGGGCTACCATATGTTCAGGTTTCCCTAGACTCAAACTCTCTTTCTGCCTAGAAATTGAATGCAGATGGGACTTGAGGTTTCTGTGGGTCCCTGGACAAATGGGACATCATACATAAGGGACCAGCACAATTACCTGGGAAATCCCAGACAGAAATTTGAGAGTCAGGCATGTGAACCACACCACTTGATCCTTCTTGAGAAGGGGAAGAGTTATAAACAGCAGAGACATGATGGAAAAGTCTTATCAAATTAATACAGACTTTGGAGACCCTTTTCTATCACTCAAACCTAATGTTCAGACACTGGGGTGTGCGTGGGCACACCTGAATTCTGGCACAATGAAATGCAACAATCACAGATAATTTTAGCTTCAACACATGCAGTAATGCGGTGTGCTAGCACTAGGTTTCTACTCCATGCCTTGACTCACAGTGGAACAGTCTGAGTCAGCCAAGAGGCAGAAAAACATCAATTTCAGCAATGCTGCATGATCAAGGGGGCCCTTGAGGGGTGGAAAAGGTCAAGAATTCCCCTATCCCAATGCTGGCTCTCACTGCAACTGTGGCAAATTAACTCTGCTGTCCTAATCTGTAACATGGAGATTCTACTCACCTACTGCACAGGAGAGCACAGAGCTAATTACCAGAGACAACCAAAGACTCGGCCCCAGAAATTATTACATCAAGAAATTAAATAGTGATCGAAGCAAGACTCCACAAGTGTCACTGAACTTTGACATCTGGAGCTTCCAGCCCACTGAGGGCTTGACAGCAGCAGTGTTTAGTCTGACATTTAAACATCCCCTACGGGTAACAGCTCTCTGTATCCAACAAGAGACAATCTGCACGACTCAGAGGACTGGGAGCTTTGCTTTTCTGTGTGTCTCAGCAGCACCTACTCAGCTGATGGGTCCTAAGAAACAAATAATGTGCCACTGAAACGCACACTGGTATTCATGCACGTCTTATTTCTCCAAGTGGTAATTGAGAGTATTCAGTTACCTATGTTCAAAATGATTAGTCATGTTTCCAAAGATTAATTCACATGTTCCTTTGTTAATACGTACAAACTGATTTAATGGCTGCTTATGAACTGAGCCAACAGTCATTTTGAGAAACAGATGTCCAATGCAGTTTTAAGCTTTAAGTGTGCTTTTATTCATATCCTTAGGAGAAAAAGGGCTACACAGTCTACAGTAATAACACTAATGAATCAAAGTACTACAGCTGCCCAGCAGGGTTTTGACAGAAACCAGCTTTTTCTCAAAGGAACTTTTTTTTAGGACTCTGGGACAGTGAACAACTGGTAATATGCATGCTTAACATGTCAGTATATGCTTTGCTGGAGCCAAAATACTGAATCAAGTCCTATCTGCAACCAAATAATATGAGGTTTTTGCATAAGCACTGGAAACTGTAACTATACAAAGACTGGGAAATCTATATGGAATCTGGATCCTCTACATTTTATACAGATAAATATTCAAAAGCTTGAGTATTTCTGATACTATTTGTGATGCTGAATGCAGAATAGGTTGTCTGGTTTAAACCTTGATAGATTATTGTGTGTGGGTGGTAGGGTTAGGATAAAAGAAAGGGAAGAAAGCTACTAGGAAAGCAGTTGGTGGTTGCAAATCCATGATAAATAAACAGCACATTCCTCTTCTACACAAAGCCCTTAGAGTCTGTGTCAGACTTTAACATCCTACTGTCAGCTGGGTGCAAATTTGACAGCCTGGGGTTCTGCAGCACTCCCTACAGAAAGCAGATTTGAAACAATTTGCCATGCCCCAAGAGAGTGTTTCGGTCAAGTTCCTAAAGAACTTCTAATGCACTAGTTATTCACAGCATCCTTGCAAAGAACCACAGGTTTGATTTTTTATGATTTGGTGTGTACAGTGCAGGATATGATTACACACCAGCCTGGTTCCCGTCAGGCAGCACCTCGTAATCATTAACATATTTATCCTTGTGGTGCCTCAAGAAGATGACATTGTTATTAGTCCCATTTTATTGATTCAGAACTGAAGCTCAATAGCTAAATTACTTGCCTTTGATTACACAAGATTTACAGCACAGGACAGACCTGAGTCCCAGCCCTACCAGGCCCAAGCAATGCAAGCAAGGATTGCACCAGAAGGACTAGATCCATGTGCAGAAATGACAGAAATGTCCTTCATGTCAGGTGCTCAGGAGTTCTATGGAAGAGTTATAACTGCACTGGGTTTGTGCCTTTTGTGTCTCAGCCTTTACCCCTGCAGGTACCTGCAGGGACTATGGATGTAGATATATTACTGCATGCAAAAGCTGAGCTCCTAAGTTGCATTCCTGTGCAGCAGCTGGAGATGAGAGTCTCCATATCATGCTCTTGTACTTACTGCACATTGAGCAATTTTGCTCAAATGCATGAGACATGCTGAGACAGTGTGTTAAGGAAGGCGGAAACATAACAAGATCTTCCTCTTCTGCTTCATCTATACCACACTGTTCTGGAAAATGCGTTGACTGATCAGATTTAGCCACAGTAAGAGTAATCATCAGGTCTGATTTAAGTACTAGTTAGTCAGAGGTTGTAAGTAAACACTGCTTTCCAGCACAAACCACCCCTTTTGGTATGGTCAATGCACTGAACAAGTCCCATTGTATCTGCCACATGGAGAGGAGAAACAACTGCACAAGGAGAAGAAGACCTTTCCCAAACCCCTCTCAAAGCAGCATCTAGTAAGATGGAGGAAGAAAGTATCAGGACACACTGCTGTTTTAAGCTGAGATTTCCCCTATCTCTCCAACAGTATCACCACAGTAACACAGCTGATAGCTGTCTTTCCTAAACTGAAGTACTTATGGGGAAACAGGTGATCCATCAGTTTCCCCAGTGGTAACCACAGACCTCAGAGAAATGTACTGACCTCCTAGGAGGCAAACATTGGGAACCAGCCCTTCCTGCCACTCAGGCTTCAGGCAGGGTGAGTGTGCAGCTGCTGCAGGTAAGAGAGATTTGCAACAGAGAGCACTGTTACAGATGTGAGGCTCTGAATTTGACCTGCCTTCTTCTGTCTCAGAACAGTTAAAAACCCAGGTAAATATTTGTGTGCTTCATCTTAGACCTCTGCTAACCTTTCACCACTCTGTCTCAAATGTATCTCTGTTTATCTCACCCTGAATAACGTAAAGCTCTCTTATCTAAGCATCAACTGCCTCCCAGCATTAAGGCTTACCCACCAGCTGCCTCCTTGACCTGACGTGCACCCAAAATGTTTGTGGTCACCCTCAACCACTGAGGACTCAGAGCTTACACTGGGCAAGCAGATCCATGCAGGAGCCCAGCATCTGTGAGAAATGCTGCCCAGTACTTTTGAGCTCTCCAAGGCTGGGTGTGATTTGTGCAATTCACATGGTACAATTTTATATTTATTTCAGTGGGACCAACCAACGGTCCAATGTGACCAACCTGCAGGCAGAGAAATACTACTCAAAACCTGAGTCAGATCAGAATTTGACTCCATATAATTACTATATGGCAAAAGTAAGATTATTCCTAAAGCAATAATAAAGTCACTTGAGATTTTTTTTAATATAAGTACCTATATCTCATATTACATATTAGCAAAAAGAATCAGCATTTGACACATAATACTTCCCCCAAAGGATTAGGCAACTCATAAACATTCATTTATCCGGAAAATTGGAAGTCACTCACAAAATGGAACAAGTAAGTACAGTAACAAGAAATATTTTTCTCATGAAATGTTTGAATCAAGAATGAAACACGAATTGAAACAGACCAGGGTGCTGTCCCTGCCTGGCACTACAGGGAAGTGCTGATTTCCTGCTGATCTTTACTCTTGAAAGCAGAAGGCAGAGATGTTCATCAGAGACTAAGAAACCAAAGGAAATACCAAGAAGAAAGAGTGCAGCAAAGATGTGTGTCTTTCTGTATCATTTAGATGAGAACATTAAAATTGATTGGAAGGCACTGAACTAGCACCTGAAGTCTAAGAGGGGAAGGGGAGAAGCCCAGAAAGACAGACATACAGGTAATAGATTCACTTAAGTCAGAAGTTACAAGAGAGATCTATGGGCCACCCTAGTCCCACTTAAATAATCTGTTAGACTACTGCTATTAGAGACCCAGGTGTTATTGGCATGTAATTACTGACAGAGCCCACCTGTTTAAGCAAGGCAAGATCAAAGTCACTTAAAAAGAAAAAGAAATCAACATTTTAACTGAAAGGTTTGTAATTATGAGCTTGAAAACAAAATACTCAGGAAAAAACATCAGCAGTCACCTATGCCACCTACCTCTACTGATACCATAGCACTTTTCAGCACAGTACTTTTTATAGGGATCACTCCAGTCTGAATTCAAACACTGAAGACCATGAACAGCAGGTTCTACAGAACAGTCAGAGCCACTGTGCATTAGCACAGTTTGTCCAAAACCCTTCTAAAAAGCTGCCCTCCTGAGTACTAGCCCATTTATCCAGCCTGAACAACTCTTCTCCACCCATCTTTGCACTTTGCAAGTGTTCACTGCCAGCTTTCCTCTCCCCTTGCCAAGTCCTTTCCCACCCAACCTTAACTTTGTTTTCCATGCTGAGCTCTTTAGCCTCCCTCAGCCACCATGTGAATGTGCAGGGTGAAACTCACGGTGCTCGGTCGAGGTTCAACCCATTCTGTCTTTGTGCATTGATTGGAGGTAGGACAGGTTTGCTGTTAATCTCAAGCCCTCTCCGCAAAGTCTCCCTGATTTGCTCTGTATCTGCAAAGAGAATTTTTTAACATGATTTAGAATCCCCAGAAACAACACGGGCACAAGAAGATACCAGGTGTGTTTCATCTAAACTCTTCCCCTTCAGAAAGAAGTGTAGAAATGTTATGGGGTAACACTTAACTGCACTTTCCTGAACTTCCTTATTTCACTTTATAATGCCAGCTTGAATTCCCTTGTTTGGGCTTCATTGTTATGTCAGGCAAGGAGAGCTGGAATCTTCGGTACTGAGTCCTCCCGATGAAGAAATTCTGAGTAGTTTTGTAAATTTTCATAAATGAGGTGTTTGTTGGTTCTCTAACTCTCATAGAACCTCCTGACACTTCCAAACCTTTGTACTGGAAATAATTTTTCCCATTAGGCATAAGAGGAACTTATTCCTTTCCCAGATGAATGTATGAAGGTTTCCAAGTTTTTTGCAATTGGCTTTGGAAATCTGTTGATTAATTTACAACAAGATTCATAAAGGGAGGGATTTTTATGCAGGGCAACCTTTAGCCTCAAGCTCACATCTGAAAATAAGCTGCAAATTATGCAGTTCAGATGCAGTCTTTTTACTTCTGCCTTTTTCTGAAATGTCTACTGGCCAAATACTTTCAATAGGAAGCTTTCCTGCCTTTCTTAGAAGTTTCCTCATTTATTTTTGAGACATGTGAGAATTAGGTAGAGAAAAAACCCCCAAATTATTTAAAAATCTTTTGAAGAATATACAAATTTCATCGTGTATACCTCTCTTGAGCTTTTCATTTCAAGGCTGAGGCAAAACAGCCTTTTGAGATCTAGTGCAGTTCAAAATACTTGCACAGAAGCCAGAAGACAGGCTGTATGCATTTAACTAATTTTTACCATGGATTTAAGAACAGATGCCATTGCTGTGGAAACCATTGTTAATTCCAGGAAATCTCAAGCCCTCAAATTTTATGTTGCTTCACCCATTTGAAAGGTAATATGCATAATTTCAAGCCTATGTAATGGCTATGACATCTCTACCCTGAGAAAGCATCTCGCTGCAAAGGGAGACTCCACGGTTTTTTAATTCTTCTTTTTAGAGTTCTGCATTTGCACAAATTCCTTGAGCTCAGCTGCAGCAATGTGCAGAGTCAGTCCAACTTGCTTCCCAAGAAGGGATAATGTTAATAAGGAAACACAGCCTGGGAAAATGCAATTGCTTCACCTTGCAGGTGTTTACAGTCCTGGTTTCAGCAGGTGCTCAGTTTAAGTTTGCAGATTCAGATTACAATTTGCCTAAAAACTGAAAGAAATGTTTAGACAAGATAATGCCAAGAACTCTTTTCCTCTCTCCTGCCTTCTTCAAAGAGGCCAAAATCCATTTTGCTGCCCTGAGACACATCAAGCCTCCCAATGGCAGTGGAGTTTGTTATGAACTCGAGGATGCAGCATGGCTCAGTGCAGTGCCCAGACCCAGCAGAACAGAAGCTGAAAGGCCACGACAGTGACCTGGCCCAGGACCTCTCACCTTTCCCAGAGAGCCGCCGAGGCTGGGTCCCAATGCAAATGCTCCTGCTGTCTTCATCATCCTCCGGTGGCCGGCTCAGGTCATCCCAGGCACATTTGGCACTCACTCCACTCAGGTTTGAGCCATCTGTCTCAATCCCTTTGTCGACTCTCTCCTGCTTGAAAAGATTCAAAACACCAAGACTTTTTTTGAGCGTGGCTTGAGCCTGAGTTGGAGCCCCACCATGGCACAGTCCAACCTTCACCGGCTCCTGCAGATCCCCTTTTGTGGGCAATTTCCACTCTCTGGACCCTGTGCTTTGCTGTGGCAGCAAACAGCAACTGCACATTGAGACAAATCCGGAAGCCATTCTGAACTAAACAAACCTTTTCCATAGCAAGTTGGTCTGAAATCCCACCCTGTCCCCACTGCTTCACTATGTGCCCCTGACAGGCACAAAGCAGGGAGAGAGTAAGGTGGAAACCAATGGCCTGGGGTGTGCAGGATTGCTTCTTTCATTGTTAGCACTGATTTACACCAACTTGAAATATTTAAGACATGAAGCACAGCTTGGCAGTCGATCTCCTATATGTCAATGATAAAAAACCCTGAATAACTAAAGTTCTCTTTCCAACCTTACCAAAGTGTCTCACAATGAAAACAGCTCATGGAGAGACTCATTCACATGGGTTCATCATTTGCAAACTCCCCAGAGAATTCTTGCTTTCCAATGTGCTGGGGTGTCCCCATAAAGGACAAACATGCAAGTTTGGATGTGCAAGGAGACGCAGGTCTGTTCCCAATGTCAAAGCTTTTGCATAGCTTTCTCTATTGGCAAATAAACAAATTTCCTCCCTTGCAAGCTGGACTTTCCAAGCACGTAACCAGTGTTTGGGTCTCAGAAGGTGTCACACACCAATCATAAGCAGCTGGATGCTCTCAGGCACCAGGCATTTTCTTAAGGACATGTGCATCTGTTGCCAGCAAGACTGCCCTAAGCTACAGCCAAAACTTCAGGAAGTTCCACCTTCTTGGACATGGGCATCAGTCTGAATTTCCACCTGTGACCCACAAGGGGGTAATGTTGAGCCGAACAAACTCGGGGCTGTGCTACACCGAGGAAGGGCTGGCACCTCTTCCCTGGCACCGAACCAGCCAGGCTCGCTTCCCCCTTTTCTGAAGGGGTGTTGCCTCTGGTGCTGCTCAGTGGCACCAGCAAGATCTGTATCTCTCTGCACACATCTGTGTCACCTCGAAACGCAGGCAGTCCCAAGAAACTTCAAAGACTTGGGGAGAGAGCACAGTGGTGTCACATACAGTGGGAGAGGATCTCTCCAGCCCATGAAAGTACCCTCTGGCTTGACATTGCCACTGAAGATGAGATTGTGCGAACATTTTGCTCTTTGCAAAATCCGTCCCCAAGAAACAGTTTCCAGACTAAAACCTAAACCCATACACATCCCTCCCCTTGCCCAGCTGTGCATGCTGCCCCCTGGGAAGAGCATTGCCTGTTCTTGTGACCATTCAAGAGAAGATTTGAGCAGCTCAAAGATAAACACAAGCATTCAGGGTGTGGTTGCACAGCGGTTTAAGTTGATGTAATTTGCAATGACTGCAGTCCCACCCTCCTCCATGTGCTCCTATCCCTTCCCTTGAGCCAACTCTTTTTTTTTTTTTTTTTTTTCATCTGGATCACCTCCCAAAACCCGCTCTTTGGCCCAAAATTGAGGTAGGAGCCTGTGGCTGACTGCAGGATCAGAGCAGTCTTGACTTAGACTTAAGCATTCAAGAGACTGCCTTTCTTCTGTTTTTCTCCCCTTGTTAGGATCTTCCTCCAGCGTCAGGGGAAGCTGGCTTCTTGAAAACGTAATAGGAAAATCTGAGAAATAATAAATCTGCTGATTTTCTTTTGTTTTATCCTAAACATAAAATTAGTTGTGTCACCCAGAAATAGAAGTTGTGGGGAAAGAAATAAAAATACATCCGTTCCTACATATGCAGACAATGCTCTAAGTGAGATTTAGCACGTGGCTCCTTTGGGAACCCTCCATGGTGCTCTGTGAGGACCCAAATGAGCTGGCTTGGGGAGGTGTAGTTTGTCAGCAAAGTTATTTTTTATCCCAGTCATTGGGGAAGCATGGGAGAGCCACCAAACCTGCTCTTGAGCACGGAGAAGAAGAGGCCAGAGGGCTGTGAGGCTTTGGTGGGATCTGCTCCCCCATCCCTGCAGCCAGGGCCCCACTCCCAGGCAGACCCTGCGGACACAGTGCAGAGCCTCGGGGAGGGGGAAGGACTCTCATCTGCAGCTCAGCTGCCTTGCAGAGCACTTCCTCAGGGGAAGAAGTGCTGCTCTGTTGGCATCCCTTGGAGATCAAGGGGAGCTGATGGAAACGAGCTGGCTTAAGGCAGCCTAATTTGCATGCCTGTTTCATAATGTTTGCAAGTATTGATGTTAAAAGGGGAAAAGTAAAAAAAAAACCCAGTCATTGTAGACTCATAGCTCTGGTAATGCACAGTTCTACCCCACCTTTAGCCAGCAAAGATTTGCCTGGACTGAGGAGCTGTTCTTCCTTCCTTGAAAGGGCAGCATGAACAGGAGGCTGGAGGAGCCCAGGGCAAAGGAGGTTCAGCTCTTTCCTTCCTCAAAGAAAGGATATTTCTGTCCCATTTTCCTCTCAGCATGTGGGAGGGATGCTCTGAGGCTCTAAGTCATTGATCCCTTTTTAAACGAGCCAGAGCACTGCAGTGTGACCTGCAGAGCGGCAACCACAACTCAGGAAATTCAAATCAGCTTTATTCTCTTCTGAGATATCTGCTAAACAGAAGCAAAGCACTGAGAATCGGCACAGAGCTGGGGACCGACAGGAATTGTTTGACAGGGCTGCCAGGGAAATCTGAATGGCCTACAGGGAAGCCTGGCTGAACAGAAAACAGCCAGCGTTGCCACAGTGTTAATTGCCGACATCCTGGGATGACATCTTAGTTGGGATCCATTCTCAGCAACTCCGAACAGAAAGTACAGCTGCTGCTGCCAGGGCTGAGTTTAGGCCTCAACCAATTCCCACAAGACACAATGCAGCCTCCAAACAAGCTCTGCCTGCTTCCCAGGCAGACATGCTTGCTGGCTCCCAAGAAAGTTGTCCAGTTTCTCTGCCTGTTCCCTCCCTCCCCTCCACCTCTCTTCCACTGCTGCCTTTCTGGTCTCACACACCCTCCACCAACACCAAGAAGATGATACTTCATCCTTTCCCCACTAATTAGAGCAGAAGGCACATGACAGGGCTGAAGGCAGCCTGGCACAGCCTTGCTCCCTGCACTCAGCAGAGGCTCTTTGTGGGACTCAGGGGCAGATTTTGCTCTATGAATCCCTGGGGTCTGCAGCAGCAGAGCAGGAGGGAGGTGTGCACACACACACCTGCCCATCTGCACTTCTGCAAGGACAAGAGAGAACAGAAACAGGAATGTGCTCCATGTGAGGAAGTCCGGAAGGACCACAGACATAGCAGCTTTCAGCAGCAGGACACATTGGTGAGGCAGAGGTACTCTTTTATTTGCCTTAACTTGTCTTGGCTGACTCAGATTCCAGTAAGCTGAGCTATTTTTCATTTACAGTAAATTGAAGAAAACCTTGTTATCATTAGGAATCACCAGTGAGCAGACAACAGAAACATCTCCAGGAGGGGAGAGGGCAAGGTTCTGGAAAGTCTGAAAACTTTATAGGACTTTCAGTTGTATTAGCTCCCCCATTGTCGAACATTTGTGGAACATTTTTTTGTGTTTCTCAGACTGGGGTTATTCTAGATGAACAAATCCTTAAAACCAGTAAAAGTAGAATTTGGTTTTGTTCTTAAGCTTTCAAAGTAAAAGATGCTGTGATGCAACTGAGAATAATCAGATACAGACGTGCAGACCATAAGCAACTGCTTGTACAAAACATGCACATTTGCACGTGCCCTACCAGGCTGAGCCATAAGTTCTCTGTTAAAGGCAAATACTCAGTGATTCACTGAAACATGGCCAGCACCACACTGCATTTGCTGGGGACACATGCACTCCAGTACCATGTATTCCAGCTCTGCTGAAGGGATTGCAGACCTGTCTCCCAAATGCATGGATCAGGAGAAGCCCACAGTACAGTAACCTCTTCATAGAGGTCCTATTCTTATCTTTAAATTTCAGAAATTAAATTGAACTCTGAAGAAGAAGGGTTAATATCTCTTCCTGCATGGATTATTAATAACTGCATGTGGTACTTTTGGGTTCCCATAATTTCTCAGTCCACACTAACTACTTGGCCTCAAGTGATATCCTACAGGAATGAGCTACACTATCACATTTGCTGTGAAAAAATAGTATTTAGTTGGTTTTGAGATTTCTGCATGTTATATCTCCTTACACTTGCACATAAAAGGAAGGAGGAATTTCCTGGTGTACCATTCCTAAATATTGTATTATTCTGTCCTTCATCTTCTTTCTTCCTCCTTTCTAAAATATCCAATCCAATATCTCCAATTTGTCTCAAATTGGAGATTCCATTTTCCTGGTCTCTCTTCTCTATCTTTTTTCCTAGAGTTGCCATTCATGTAGGACTGGACAATCCCTCTTGAACCACCTCTAAGAGGGCAAAGAATTTCTAAGACTTTTCCAGGATTATTACAAACATTGAGAAGATGCAAGCACCTTTACAGAAAATATTAGAACTGTTGTATAACAGTTGGCTCCTACGAGAGACATGACATTTTATAAACTAAAGACATACTTGCAGATGTGGGTCAATCTCGAATATGGTCTCTCCTCTTCGCATGTCTGTTATCAGCCAGGGGCCTCCAGCTCTACAAAGAAAGACAGGTAATGAACCAAACAAGCCCTTTAATTAGAACTTTCCAGCAGAGTCCTCAGAGTGGACCTGTACTGCACGGAAGCACAGGATAAGGGTTTAAAATAAGCCTAGAAACCCATCTATGTGGTGTATACATCCCACAGCATGCATTTGCCCTTCACATTTTCCAAATAAATAAATAATAAAAGCCCTCCACGACCTAGCAGTTAATCAGCTCATGTCTGGCAGCACCCAGACGTGCACAGCAGTCAGGACTGACACAGGCTGTTGTCCCCTGTGCAGGCCCCCTTGCTCACACAAGGCTGAGAGGGGTTTTAATCTTACAGGAAACGAACTGGGACTGAGAAATCCAGTGTAGCCTGAGTCAAAGAAAGATGGGCAAGGCATGGAGTCAAGATTTATTCCTCTATTACATATCTAAGAATAGAGCAGGGCCCCAGTGGGACTGCACTTTTTGCCAAGATTGGCAGTCACGTTCAGTACCACAAAGCTTATTGCTCTGATAAATACTATCACAACAGACATTTTGCTCAGTTGGTACTTCATGGCCAAATACTCAGAAGGCTCAGGGAAATCTTTGTAATCATTAGCAATAAAAGTTGGAAGGCTTAAGGTGTTTCCCAACAAAGGTGATAGAAAACAGATTACTGTGAAGATTAAATACTCAGAGACTTCACTTTGGGTCATAGTGCAGCCAGACTGCAGAAGTGAGCCTTAGATAGTGCTTTTCATTTGAAATAAAAACTGAAGTCTTTTGGAACTGCCCTAAAAAAATTCGTTTTTTTCATGAGATACTTTGTTATTGCAGTCAAAAGCCCCCTCCTCTGGCCTAGTTTGTGTTAGTCTCCTAAAACATTTAAGAGTGGGAGCAAAAAAGTTAATATTTTACAGGTTTTCGGATGCATGGATAGCCACTTGTTTTTTCACATCACTTTGGAAGATGTGAATTATTAACTGCAGGGGTGTGACCTGCCACAGTTCCTCACTGGGGTGCAAGAGACTTTTACCCCAATTCCACATCAATGGCTTAGTAGCTTGCAGCTTTGTCTTCAAACAATGAACATTTGGGTCTCATTTTTTACCTTGGAAAGGTGCTTATACCACAGCACAAAAGCAAAAAACCAACATGAGAATAGACTGAGGAGAGAGGTGCTGTATCTGTATTGACTTAGAGGAGCTAAGGGAGCTGCAGGCCGTGTTTATTGTCTCAGGACCCAGAAACAAAGCTTACAGCTGAACAAATTCACTCTACTCTAGGGCATTTGCATTAATTATCCGCACTTGTGCCTAAAAGGGAAAAGTTCAAGTTGAAAAAGTCCAGCTCCTCCAAATAATCAATCAATTCAAGGCTATTGTGATACTGGAGAGTGTACTATTGTGCCCAGAAACAAATATTCAGAACTATTTTGCTTTAAAAAGTAAGGCTTTTTGAGTTACAATCACATGGCAATAACTTCCACTGAATTTAAAAATGTTTAAGCAAAATACCTGCAAGCCAAAAAGATTTAGCTGCACCCTGGCAGCAAACAAAGCATCAACATATCATTTACCATTTAAAATCCATCTCTTCCTCAACCCAATATAATCTTTGTTATTTCTCAATTGTAATGGCAAAACAATTAACTTCACTTTCATGAATGCTCCTCCTGCTGCAAACTAGCCCACCAAGAGTGGGCCAAGTTTGAGAGTGACTTTCTCACTTTTAGACAGTACTTCCAGACAGTTTTGTAAGCCAGACCCTCTCCTTCCTTTCTTTGAACTAAACAGCAAGGTCACCAGTAACAGTTATCCCAGGAAGAACCAATGAGAAAACCCTGCAGGCATAAGAGGAAGGAAATTAAGCTTTCAAGACCTCATTCTCTTTCACCCTGAACATGTGGACTTCCACATGCATTAATTTGCCATCTAAGTGTCTGTGCGTGAGAACAGATTTGCAGTGAATTCCCATCTCTTGCTACAGCACAGATTAAATAAGTTCCATCAGCAAGTTAAAGATTGTTAATAAAAATATACAACTGAACTGTTCTCTATAGAAATGCTCCCCTGTATGGGCTGTGTGACCACTTACACTGGGACAGTCCGAAGCAGTTCCAGAATCCCTTGACCATTCCACTGCTGAGCTGCATGCAGTTCCTCAGTGCAAACCCCAACAATCTGTAATAAACAACAACAGACATACTAAACAAGGTGGGAACTATGAAAGAACTGTGGAGAAAATGTGCCACGTGGTACTGGATCAAACAATGCACATACAGAGAAGCACCATTTCTTTAATCTAACCAGATATGCTGGGACAAATGGAGCCTGAGACAACAGTGGGATCCCACAAGACCTTGTTCTCTCTCTACACTTACCATGTGAAGCACCCTGGTCATGTAACATTTAATCTTGTAAAGAGTGTGTGAATTTAACAATGAAGAGGGTCTGGTGACAAATCAGGGTTTATACACTAGTCTGCTTGACTTTTCAATCAAGTCCACACAGACAGGACAGAGCAAGACAGGTTAGGGGCTGAGCACATACAAACACTGCTCTGTCATCCGACTGCTAGGGGCAAATGCAATACTGCACAAGCAATCTCAGCCAGGCAAGGGAATTGCTGCCACATGGGATTGCTTTGGTGCTCATAAAATCCTTGACCAACTCAGTTTGCTGACTGGTTACATCTTACCCAGCACCATAAAGTAAAGCTGCTTACACACCACATAATCCACTTGTCACTGCAGGCAACTGCACACTTCTGCCTTCCTGTGTAATGCAGGATGTGTTTGCTTTTCAGGATAGGAGCTGCCACACTGAGCAATACCAGATGTCTCTCTAACAGCAGCTGAGATCAGCTGCTTCAAATGAAGGGGTGAAACACCCTTCAGCTGATAGCAGAAGGCAGTTTCTTCCTGCTGTATCAACCACTGGTTTGTGCCTTTGAGCACAATGTTTCACCCTGAGATGAAAAATATTTTTGCCACAGCCTTCTATTTTCTTCCTCAATGTTCTTAAGTCTTTTCCAACAACACTGAATTTTTTGTCAAAATCTGTTCAACTGATGTTTTATCAGGAAAGAGGAAAACTGGAAACTAAGCTCCGAAGAGCAGCAAGCGGAGTGAAGGATGTGCCTTCTGCTGTAGGCACATAACTGCACTGATAGAGATCTGTGTGGAAAACCCTCATGTCAGCACACACCAGCTCTGCACACCCCACCTCTCCTGCCCCTTGCACAGTTCACCTTGTCAGGACCCAGCCCTTGGAGGTGCACTTCATCCCCACCCATCTCCCAGGCTTCCTCCATCACCAGCCTGAATCACCCCTGCCTCAGGACACCCCTCCCTGGGCCTTCACTCACTAATTACATACAAACAGCAAGACTCTAAACAGGAAATTATTTTGTGTTCGTTCTTTGCTTTTTGTAATCATTTATCCTCATGGGTCAAAATAAATTCATAACAACAAGCATCAAACAAAGGGGAAAACCAAGTCAACTGTATGTGTTGTGGAAGATTAGAGGCCAAGGGCCTCAGGATGCAGCAAGCTGACTGTTCTTTGATTCAAGACAGCTGGGCACTAAAGAAGAGATGAGGACTAACACAGTACTAACTGGAGAGTCAGCCAGGGATTATCCTGCTTAGCTTGGCTCTCTGTCTCTCCTTCCTGGTCCCACAACTCACCTTGCACTAATTAATCTCACACCCACCTTGTTGTTGTTGATAAAACACAGACATTTGGGCACCTCAGAAGAGCCTTGCAGAGCACTTGTCTTGTGCAGGTTTTGTGGTAACAGAACTTCCTTTTACATGTTGCAACTACAGCCAAAGACAAGTGGGAGCAACTAGAAGCTTAAATTGTAAAATACAGACACTTGCATTTTCCCACAGGATGGAAGCTTTTCCACAGAGCATGAAGAAATCAGCAGTTGGCATAAACTATGCCACTCTTCCACTAAGGCTATTAACCCAATATGCAATTTAAAAATATCCAAAGCAGCTCCTATCTAAGAAGCATCGCTGAGAAGGACTTTGGGAAAGCAAGCAAACCTGTTTGGCCACAGAAGCTCTCCATGCTGAACAGCAGAGTTAAATCACAAGGGAATTTTTTAGTGTTTCTTTTGCAAAGCAAACCTGAACCTTTCTTAAACAGTAGATCAATACAGGAAAACTCAGCCTCTAAAGAATCTTTGTGTCAGTACTGCAAGCTACATTTCTGCCATTTAAGTACTGCTAAAACAGCTCCAAGACCTGCTCCAAACTCTTCTCTTCCTGGCATTCAAACCAGTGGATCCCTTATTAATATTACTATAGAATTAATTTTCATTTATCTTTACATTAGCTTTTAAAACTGTTTCTCTCAACATTTTTTTTCAATGCTCATATTTGAAACTGAAGACAGGATAATAAATATCTGAGTTATACAGCTCAAAGCAATGTTAGCTGCACTGCACACCCAGGAGGTGGCAGTGGGAGCCACGGTGGCTGGGCCATACCTGCAGGAAAGTGACCACCCCAAAAGGAGTCTGCACGGGCTGCATCTGGGGGTCTTCTGTCAGCAGCATGTGCTGGATTCGAGACTCACTGTTGTCCAAAGGGCTGTGCCACGAGACGTGGTCACCGCTGCAAAAGGTGTTTTCTGCAAGGAAAGAAACAAGAAATATTTAGTATGTGAAGTCTGCTAGAACATTCCTTCTGTTGGCAGCTGCTCCTGACTGCTGCCAGGCAGGGACCTCCGGCCTGGGCTGGGACAGTCGTTGGTGACTGTTCACAGTGACTGCCCCTGGCCAGCTCTGCTGAGCCTCTGAACCACCTGAAACAGAAATGGAGTCTCTTTGAGTGATCTGAGTTCAACACTGATTTCAAAATTGCCCACTCTTGAGTCCTGTGGACAAAACCACCATCCTATTTTGATATTAAGCCCAACAGGAAATACTAGCAAATAAAATTAGCCTGTCTCTCATTTACTACTAGTCTCCTTTTTTGAGAAGGCACAGAAAGTCAGCAGGCCATAGTGGATGCCTATTGCCATAGCAATTCACGCTCTTAATCTGCCACAGAGAAAATATTCTCAAATGTGAATTAAACACAAATACTACCCTGCTATATTTAATAAAAATTCTGGTGCCCATCTTGTGATAGTGTAAGTCAAAATCTCTCTCTCCGTTGTCTGGGCGGCTCTGGTGCAGAATTAGAATTAATATGTTTCTTCTTTCCCAAACAATAAGAAAACCAATAGGCTATAAATTTAATTCTATGTCAGAACAGACTGCATCAAAACAAGGCAGGCATTCCTTTCTTTTCCTCCCCTCCTAGTTAGAAAGACAAAACCCCAGATAATCCCATGTTCCACAGCTAGTGCATGCCAGAAGGCACACCAGAACCCATCTGTCTGATGCAGCCCCACCGCAGGAAAGGCTAATGCTTGCTTTCTGAGCGAACTAGAAGTAAAACAACCAGCCATGACCACATTCACAGCAATTAAAGCACAATCCATCTCTATGCAGCTCCTGGAGCATGTGTGGTAATGCTGCCCAGCTGACTGCTTTTATCTTGGGTCTTGTGCTTGTCCAAGCAGAACTTTATTGTACATACAAACAAACAACCTGGAATCCACATTCTGCCCTCTGAGATAGGTGTAGTGCTCCAGGGATGAAGTGAGTACTGCCTGCCTGCTTCCAAAGTGAGTGGCAGGCCCAGTGCCCCTCTCCTTGACCAAGCTCATCCATGAAGGCAGTCTGGGTTGCTGTCCTTGCCGTGGTCTCTCCCAAGGCCACACTTAGAACTCAGCAGGAAAGAAGGCCTTGCCCACTGGAAGAGGACTAGAAATTCCAGTGCAAACAGTGGTTATCTGAGTTGCTGTCTGTCGAGACTGGAGCATCTCCCATGCTACAGGAGCAGGATACAATTCAGAGAGGTGCCCTCCCCATGGTCCTGGATCTTCACCTAACCTTCCCACATCCCCTTCCAAACACATTGCAACAGGACACCCCTTAAACAGGGCTAATAGAAGAACATGGCAGTGTCTGCAATAGCAAGAGAAAAACTTTTTGAATTGCCAGGAATTGCAACTCATTCCCTGTCACATTAAACAGCACCACCAAGGAACTGGGTGCTTGTACACCCCATTGCAATAATTGTGCATCAGGACCAAATTTATTATTAATAATTCCTTTAATGGTAATTTTTAGTAAAAACAATCCTTTCAGATTTTTTTTTCTCCAATAGACATTTTTCATTGCCATGACAAGCACGGGTTTGTGCAAGGGCAGCAAAGGCAGGATGCTTCAAGGGAGCCCTCAGCAGCAGGCAGGTAAACTCATGAGAGCTCCCTCAGAACTGTTCTGGTTAAAAATATTTCAGTCCTCTCCCTGATGAGGAGCTGCTGGCCTGCTCCTGGCTGTAATTTTGGGCAACTCAGCGTGCCTCCACTGGGTGTCCCCATTGCTGTGGGTTTGAACATCTTTATATATGTTTTTTCAGATGAATTTCCTGGACAGCTCATTTGATTACAAATTAAAATAAACTCTAACTACCATAAGGAACTTAGCCTGAAAAATGAGGCATGTAACAGAAGTGCTGTGATAAGTAAGGGAATGTTTTCCTTAGTTAAAATTAGGAAAGAAAGAAAACATAGTGAACGCAAGCTGCTTCAAAGGGTTTATCGTTATGTACACTAAATTACACGCTTCCAGCTCTGGGACTGAAAGGACTGGTTCAAATATTACTTTACTTTTAGAGTTGAGGAAATATAAGCAGACAAATGAAAAATTATATATTTTTTTAGTATCAAAATCTGGTTAAAGAAACAGCACTTAGAATGTTGCAAGGGATATCTTGTGATATTTTCCAAGTTAGACAAAATGTGGCTGATCAATTTTTTTAAAATGATAAAAGCCTCTCAGTCACAGTTTTCAGGAATGAAACAAAGCCACAAAGAGCTTATTCTTGGGCCCTGTCTTTATACCACAACATTTTGCCCATCAAATGCTCACACAATTCTATGCTGATCGATCGCTGTGTTTCACTGTTGGTGCTACTTCTCCTGGGAAAGCCCAGCCCGGTTAGAGCAGGTTTTCAAATGCAAATGTCTCTGCTGGAAACCCACCTGTTTATGGCCATGTGAACACTGAACACTTAGAAAATCTCCCTTTCCCTTGCATACACACGAACACCACAAAATTCACACTGACTACTCAATTAAATCACACCAAAAAAATTCTGCAAATAACATGAAGCCAAATAAAAACCTGTGGGAGTTCAAGAAATTTGGTATTACACCCCGAAACCCAGCTTTCCACTTGCTGCATTGTCACCCATGGGGGATGTAAGATCAGCTCTTGCACAGAGCTGATTGCAGCACTGAGAACAGCCTGGATTACATAACTTGTAACCACAAAAACTAAGAAATTACAGAAATAAAGGGCTAGATAATAATTTCTATTGCCTCATGCTGGAAACAGGGAGAGTATCCGGTATCCTCCCTTCCTACCTTTCACATTCATGTTTTCAAAAGAGTCAGGGATGAGAACATCACAACGGGATAAGCCTCGTCTCCTTAGGTGACCACAGCAAAACCAACAGTCATCAGAAAAAGTTCCGACCAGGTAATTGTCAAATCCATATAACAGCTGGCAAAGCACAGAAATTATCTAGCCATCAATAGGAGAAATTAAAAGCAAAGGAACTAAAGGAAAATATGTTAAAAAGTTAAATCCGAATTATTTTAGCCTATGGATAAATCAGCAAATCCTCAGGTGTAAACTAAGGCTCTGATTTACTGCACACAAGCTGACTGCTGCTGAATACTTCTCCCTCATGGTAAATCTGAGGTGGCTTCATGTTCCCTCCATGCCAGGATCAGCTAAGGTGCCCAATGTGCCCCAGGATAAATTCATATCCTTCAGCAGTTACCATGGGAGCAGGGGATGTGTTGTAAATACACAGGCTTGCTCACAGAACCCTCTGGGACTCTTGCACCCTTCCTGCTTGGAAGGGGCACTAACTAACAAGCCTTAAATCTAGCACAGCAAGGTGACTCATCCTCACAATTTTGAAACTGGTTCTTTTCCTGCAAGTTTATGTTTTAACAAAAAACACTGACTTTTCTTTCTTCCTGGTGAGGATTGCTGATTCCATGAAATCCAACTGCTTTATGGGGAGGTATTGATTTCATAAGAAGTCAACAAAGAAATTATTAAAATATTTCAATTCAAACTTACTATTTTAGTTCATAATTTATAATAGCAAGTCTGAAGTCTCTCTATAGCTCTACAAAAATGAAAAGTCTCTAAATCTGCCATAGACCAGCTCTTGTACAATTCTATTATGCAAAAGCAGCAGTTATACCAGACCACTCTGTTAAGCCACCCATATTTTGAAGCCTTTAAAATGCCATTATCAATTTTCTTTTACAGCTCACATAAAGCAGGTGAGGTTCCTTCATGCAGCAACAGTCATAATTCAGCAGCACAATCTCTCCTAACTTTACTATCCCACTGCTCTGTAATGAGGACTGGGGAAATAACTCAGAGGGAATCATTCCACTGTAGACTAGTAAATTTTCTTTGTCTAACTTTGCTCATGTATTTTCTTGGAGTGAATTCCTCCTCCCTCCTTTAATTTGACTAAATATAGCTCATGCCTAAAGAAATAAAACCAAGTCATATTCTTGGCCTCGGGATGTTTCATAAACATTATAATGCATGCAATCTATGCTCAAGTGGTGTTACCTAGCTCTAGAGAGAAACACAGATTGCTTCCCACTGTATTTTCAATTCCTTTTTTAAACCTGTCAGCTTTCCATATATGGGATCCTGCTACAAGTCCTTACTCCCTTAATCACCGCAGGGAGTAAATGGAAAAGGACAGCAAACTTAGAGAAGTACCAGGAGCTGAGAGAGAACTCCATCCTAAAGGCAGCTCCAGGCTGAAAGTCAGTCAGGGAACATCTCCAGGGAGCTGGCTACCCTGCACCCAGAGCAGATGGCAAACAGTCTTTGAGCATCTGGGAGTGCAGTATCTTCTCTTGCATGTGCATTGGCCACTCAGGGAGGAAAACAAAGAGCTGATGCTGTTCCACCAGCAAGAAGAGAGCAAGGCAACTTTAAGCCTTTCTCCAGTCCATGCAGACTCCTGTCCCCAGCCTGTCTGGCTCCAAGACAGTTCAAATTGCACCACCCTGGTTAATCCAGAGGCCAGAAACTTGTCCCTTCTGACATGGTCCCGCCACATAATTCTTGAGATAAATTTTAAAATTAGAAGAACAGATTTGCAGCCTGATCATTCCTCTGTATCTCTTCTAAGACACCTCCTTCTTCCAAATGCCAGCTAAAATCAGCAACAGAGGGGGCTGAGTAAGTAACCAGATAAATCCACCTGGACAGTGTGTTACAAGTTAGAAGCTGACACAGCACAGAGTGGGAGAAGCCCTAAGTACACTAACTACATTTGCTTGGTGTTGGCAAAACAGCTATTCATATCCTTCAAGAGCATGTTTCTGTTTCTTCTGTTTCTGGGGAAAGCCAGGCCATCAGTACATGGTCACTGTATTTGGGGACATGTGCAAGATGATGTTGAAAGAAGCAGTCCTGCTTGTCCCCTGCAAAAGCAGGGCTACCTGGATCATGCCCTCGGAGC